TCCAGTGCGCATTAACCCTCAGCGCCACACCAGATAATACTAGCATGTTCAAGCTGTTGAGTACTTTGTTGTGGTTCACATAAAGTCCAAGAACTGGCAGATAAGTAATTTGCAAAAAAATTCAGGGCAGTCTCTGCTTTAGTTTTAACAGTTTGGTATATATGACAGGCTTTATCTTATTGGAACCATCACTGGTGTGGGTTCTATTCTTTGCTGGTTCCGAAACCTGATTTTCCCAGGCTTTAGGAATGTATACCCTTTTAGCCAAACTCACAAAAATGATTTATAAATGAGGCTATTCATTTATTATATATTTATTGAACTAAGTATGTTGCCATGTGCAAATCTCTGGGGAGACAAAAATGAATCATAAATATAACACGGCTTCTGCTCTTTAGAAACTTATGGTCCCGAAGTGGGACAGATACATAAACAAATACGTTATACATCGTGTGTTAAGTGTAAGATGACCTTCCTTCCTTGTTTGTCTGGAACAGGCCTGGTTTATGCCTTTTGTCCTGTTGAACTAAAGACTACCCCTTTCAATTTTAAAACTAGTAAGAGCCACAGCAAAAGCCCTATGAATGTATGGGGTGTAGAAATGGTAGTAGAAAGAAAGGAGAAATCATATTGATTTCCCAAAGTAGACAGGGACTGATGAAGGATTTAGGGCAGTTAAGGACTAGGTGGTGGTTCCAGGAATATGTAAAGCTCTGAAAGCAAAAAAAGGCATTTTTCCTACAGCTGCAGTTAGTTGGTTCAAGCTAGGCATTTTTCTGAATTTTTAATTGTAATAAAAATTACTCAGGGTAATTTGGATTAATGGGTCTGAGAATCAGTGTTTTTTCACAAAGTGCCCTAGGAGCATTCTTAGGCATTTGAAAGACTCAAAACAAATTCTCTACTGGCTTGACTAAGAATACAAATAAATGGAAGTTGAGGAGGAAGGAAAACCAAGATGAGAACTGCAGTCACAGGTCAGCCAGGCAGGAGTGACCCCAGGGGAAAAAGTAAAAAAGAGACCAACAACTCTTACAAGCAAAACCAGTTGGGATATTAACAATAGTTCTAGAGAAACAGGGAGTGCCGGAACTATGCCAGTCACAATGGGGAAGCAAAGGAATGAAAAGATTAGAGATCTATTCAGGAGGAAAAATAAACAGGATATAGTATACGCCTATTTATTATATATTTTTCAGGCAGCACACTTATGCCATATCCTGACACCTGGAGGGCTATGTTGTTGTTGAGTGCCGTCGAGTCGATTCCGACCCATAGTGATGCTGTATAGGGTTTCCAAGGAGCGGCTAGTGAGCTTGAACCACCCACCTTGCAGTTCAAACAACCTTGCAGTCTGACACATTAGCCCACAGCACCACACCAGAACTCCTGGAGGGCAATATAACCTAATAATTTATAGACTGTATATCATTATCCAACATTTTGCATATACCAAAATAGTAAATATCTTCTATCCAACTATTCAGTAGATTAGTAATGCACATCTGGCTGTAACACTGAGGTGGAAGGTCCAAGTAATGCTGGCTGTGATGGTGGTGGTGATGTGCTGTGGAGTCAGTTCCAACTCATAGTGACCATGCATAGGGTTTCCGAGACTGTAAATCTTTATGGGAGCAGAAAGCCTCATCTTTCTCCTGCGGGAATAGCTGGTGGTTTCGAACTGCCCGATAGGAACCACTACACTGCCAGAGGTGGCTGTGGTAGTTAAGGTTATGTATCAACTTGACTGGGCCATGATTCTCAGTAGTTTGGAAGTTAAGTAATGAAGTAGTCATCCTCCATTTTGTAATCTGACACCACGTGAAGTCCATCCTCTATTTTCCAATAGAACCCATTTTCACATAATAACATGGAACCTAAGTAAGGAGTAGATATAATCTGAGTATAAACCTACTTGGTGAACATAAACCTAAAGAAAACATTTTTTTAACAAAGAAAACAGTTAAACTGTTTTGTGAAATATTTTACCTGGATCTAAAGGATGATTCCTGCTTACCTCACAGCATTGTAATCACCACAATTAGTGATAGTTATATTTATCTTTAATAGCATTGTTGTTGTGAAGTTCGTTCAAGTCAGTTCCGACTCATAGGGACTCACTACATAGGGTTTCTAAGGAGTTCTGGTGTGGTGCTGTGGGTTAATGTGCCAGACTGCAAAGCTATTTGAACTGCAAGATCAGCAGTTCAAGCTCACCAGCGGCTCCTCAGAAACCCTATACAGGGTCGCTATGGGTCGCAACCAATTCGACAGCAATTAACAACAACAACATATAGGGTTTCTAAAGAGCAGCTGATGGATTTGAACTGCCAACCTTGTGGTTTGCAGTCCATTGTTGATCTTACAGCGCCACACCAGAGCGGGGTGAATTTTCAAGCACCCAGACACCCAAGTTTCCTTTTTCCAGACTTCAAGCACACTCCTGTCCTTCAGTTATGGAAAGACTATCTGCCAAGTCTTATCTTGCATTATTTTTGCTTTCCTTATCGGATGTGTATGACAGGATTCATCAGCAATATGTGTGCCAACAGTCTCTTGCAATTTCACCATGACCTTGTCCCCAAATTGTGGAATTGCTCTCTCTGTGAGAACCTGCAGCCACCTCGGGGATCTTCTAGAACTCTGGGAAATTATAGTACAAGAAACAAGCAAGGAGGGCTTTAAACTGGTGTTTGAGGCAGCCAGATTTACTTGGAAGAGGGTGAGTTGGTGGCTCTCAGAAGAGCAACCCCTTACCTGGAAGATGAAGAAAATAATGAGAGCTTTGTATTTCCCTTCAAACTAAATAAGTGTTTTAATTTTTAAAGCCTGCTTTCACCAGGCCTCTTGGCTTACTTCTGAAGCAGCAAGCCAAGTCCGAAATCAAGTGATGCAAAGACTTAGAAGTTATGAGAAGAAAGCCTCAAAAAGGAGTATGGGAAACCGATCAGGCTATAATTTCACAGGGTAATTTAGCACCGTTTACCCAAGACCTGAACACCACTTCAGAGCCTCCAGAGTGCGGTTTGGGGAGGGGCAAGGCATCTTAAATTCCAGTCCTTGGCCAGTCTTGTAAAGCTGCTGAGGGATTTTCAAAGCCTGGGGCTGAAGACGAACAGGCTGAAATCTTCCATCCAGTCAGTATTAGCTAGGGGAGGGGAAACCAGTCGATAGTGGTTCCAAAGTTCTTTTTTTTATAAGGTGCTCAACTTTCGTGATACAAGATCAGCAACCCCATTAAGTCACATTAACAGTATGAAAAAAAAATAAAAAGAGGAGGAAAAAATCCAGCATACACAGATTCAGAAAATGGATTTTCTCAGCACCTAAAGCGCACTGCGCTGCCAGGGTCGCCTCAGTCTTCCTCTCCGCTCCCAAAGTCGCAGCCTGGAAACCTCTTTCCCGCAGTCGAGTTGCAACCAGCGCCGCGCTGCAGCAGGGGGATCCGCCGGGTGAATCGCAGACTTCAAAGCCCAGGCGCCACCGCCGCCCCCGCCCGCGAGCAAAAGTAGTACGGTCCAAGGGGGCGGCTCCTGGGGCGCGGCTCCGGCGGCAGCTGATGCGCGCCCGGCGGGCTAGGAGGCGCGAGCTGAAGACCCAGAGACTTAGAGACGCGAAGACGCAGAGGCCGAACTGCCGGGTGCCGCGGGCCGGAGCCTTGAGGCCCCAGCAAGAGCAACCTCACTGCGTGGAAAGCCTGACTCAGAAACAGCGCGGGGAACGTTGTGGCCGCACCATTTGGGAAGGAGGACGAGGAGGAAGCGGTGCTGCCTACGGACGGAGAGGAAACGCTCCACCCGGGGATCCGACGGCGCTCATTTAACCACATCCGCACCTTCGCTGAAAACGTTTAGGGACGCCTGTCACCCGTTACCTCCATTTTGAAAGGGAAAAAGGATCTCCCCCTTCCCCTCCCCTTAGGATCTGGAGCCGGAGGAGCAGTGCTGATGGCTTTCAGCCCTTGGCAGATCCTGTCCCCGGTTCAGTGGGCGAAATGGACGTGGTCTGCGGTGCGCGGCGGGGGCGCTGGAGAGGATGAGGCCGGAGGGCCGCAGCGAGACCCTGAGGAGGAGGACTCGCAAGCCGAGACCAAATCCTTGAGTTTCAGGCAAGTACACAGCATCCTTGCCGAGATGTAAATGTGCTGCCTTCCTTCATCCGCGGCTCATTCTGTGTGCGTGTGTGTGGTCGCCCACCCGCGTAACCATACTCATGGCAATGCTACGTCCCTGTCTATAACCAGGTCCCCGCTGTGCATTGGAAAGTTCAGGGTGTTCGCTCTCTCTTGTATTTTCTTTCCTCCATGTCGGGATGAGCTTTCTGAATCCAACCCAGAATCTGCAGTGCCTCCGCATCCCCTTCTGCCTTGGTGACTTTCTGTAAGCTTCTCTTCCCCAGTCCCTGCCTCGCATTTCACACACAGACACAGACAGACAGACAGTGCCTTTGATCGCACCGGGTGGAACGCAGAGTCTTCCCTATGGGGAAGAAATCGCCCTCCTATGAGGCCCCTATGACCCAAAACTGCAATCGTGGTAAAGAAGGTCGTGTGATGACAGGCCCTTAGCAGCTGGTGAGAAATGGTGGTCTCTGCTGAGCTGTCACCGGTGTGATTGCAGAAAGCAGGTGACAGCATTCCCAGCATCGGGCCCAGTGAATTCCTAGCAGGTAGAGAGGCCTACTGAGGAAAAAGGCATCATGGTGAGAACTGGCTAATTTGTTTGGGGGCATAAGAATTTCTAAACCTATATGAAAGGGCTTTTCTGGGAAAAGGAATTTGTTGGAAAGTGCTTTTTGGGAGGTGCGAGGTGGAAGGACTACTTCAAAAATAAATAGTGCTAGAGAAGAGCTCTAAAGGATTGAAGAGATTCCAGGGAGACAGGATACCGGAATGAGAAACCCAAGTGGGGCACAGCTAGGAAACCACAGCCAGCAACCTGGGGCACTCCAGCCCATGGGAAGACCATTAGACAAAAATGTTGGACTTGTAGCCTCTGTGGATACCTAGATAATAAAAAGTGTCAGAAATACCGTTGAAAGTGGTAATTCCTCATTTTCCCCCTTGGCAGCTCGGATTCTGAAGGTAATTTTGAGACCCCTGAAGCTGAAACTCCAATCAGATCACCTCTCAAGGGAGCCTGTGATTCATCACTAGGATTGACAGGGTCTGGGACCAAAGCCCAAGGTAAAGACAAACTTTCATTTTCTGCCTCTTTGCTTTAAAGTTTTGAAAACTATGCATGAGAGAAGAAGAAAGAAGTGTTAACTTAGGACCATTTAAAAGGCTTTGGATTGTTTGGCTCTTTACTCAGAAAAAGTTGTTTTGAAGTTCTGGCTTATTTGAGAGTTTTTGCTGTTGTTTTATTTTGTTTTTAAGGAGTGTGTTCACAGGCTCTCTTCTCAGAGAGGAGTCTGCCTTTGCAGTACAAAGAGGTTATTACTATCAGACCTTCCTGCTGGGCTGTCTCTCTACCCCTAGAAAACAAAACTATGTGAAATAATGCAGGCTTAGACCCTCTCCTCAAGGGCGTGGCTGGAAACCAAAATTTTAGATAAGAATTAACTTGTAAGACAGATTCTGATGAGGCAGTTTCAAAATGGGTGGCTCTGTAGGATAAGCACTGGACTACGAACCGCAAAGTCGCTGGTTCCAGCCCACCAGACTCTCTGAAGGAGAAAGATGAGGCTTTCTGCTCCCGAAAAAGATGTATAACTTCAAATCCTATGTAGACTGGGTCACTATGAGTTGAACTGACTCGGTGGCACTTAAGGACAACAACAGCAGAAAGTAATGCAAGGGTGTGTTTAGCTATGGCTTCACAAATGCCTCAGGCTAAGTCTTCCTTAGGGGTGTGACTGGAAACAAAAATTTTAGATAAGAGTTGACTTTTAAGACAGATTCTGAAGAGGCAGTTTCAAAATTGCTTACCCCTCCCTCTTCCACACAGGAACAATGGTGAGCCAACCCCCTCAATCTACATTAGAAAACCAGGCTTAGATATTCTTTTCTAGCCCCTCAGAGCCCAACCTTGTACCTGTTCTTCATCTATAGAAACGTGTGCTATTTTACTTTATTAGTAGAAACCTTTTTTGTCCTACAACCAATTTTAAGTACAATGTCACTTTGTCCTAATGGAAATCATTCATTCAATAGAATGCTGGGATTTATTTCTCCTTGAGTTAACATTGTGAAGGGAGATGTGCCTTTTTAAGGTCTAAGTAAAGTAGTTTTATTTATAAGTAAGTCAAGTGATTTTATTTAGAAATCAACTTGTATTAAGTGATAGAAAGAAAAATAAGCAGAGGGAGAAAATAAGGAACATGAGTTTGGGGTATTGTTGCTATTAAGTGCTGTAGAGTTGGTTCCAACTCATAGCGTTTCCAAGGAGCAGTTGGTGGGTTTGAACTACCGTCATTGTGGTTCACAGTCCATTGCTAATCCTACAACAAAGATGCTAAAGAGTAACTAAGGGAAGCATTGATGATAAAGTGACTTTAAAAACCTGAAGAACTAAGATAGCCTTTTGGATAGCAAGCCAGGGAAAGAACTTGCCCATCAGAGAGAATGGCATCTGCAAGGATCTGGGGTGAGAGCAGCCTTTGGTGTAGTGAGACCCTGTGGTGGGGGAATGCCTGACGTATTTGAGGACCAGCAAGGAGGCCAGTGTGACTGGCATGGAATGGCAAAGCAAGCAGCCGGAGCTGAAGTCAGAGAGAAGGCAGGCCCAGATGATACTGTAATGACGATTTGGTTTCCTTTCCCAGTAGATGGAAAGACACTGAGAGAACAGAAGGTCCAGGCTTTGACTACTTTTTAAAAGCTTTCTGGCTGTTGGCCTGAGAAGGGACTCTAGGTAGATAGATGTCCTTTTAAAGTGATTTCTGTATTCCAGTGTCCATCACTGTCACCCATGTGTGTCAGATACAGGCAGCTTTCAGTTATCCAGTTACTTAATTTTTTACTGCTTAATAACTTCTTCACAAGTTGCGTAGGGAAGCCGAGTCACTCTAGAAGACTTCGTGGTGAAGCTGGAGTTACTGGTAAAATGGCAGCAGCTTTGTGTGGCTTGGTTTTACTTTAAATTGAGAGTTCCATGCTGTGCTTCCTTTGCTGAGAATTCTGCACTACCTTCAACTTGTTCTGGGCTGCTTCCTTTTATTTTAGGCAGGATTATGTCACTATAGGAATCCTGGTGTGGTGCTGTGGGTTAATGCGCCAGACTGCAAAGCCGTTTGAACTGCAAGGTCTAAGGTTCAAGCTTACCAGCCGCTCCTCAGAAACCCTGTAAAGGGTCGCTATGGGTTGATGGCACTTAACAGCAACAACATGTCACTATAAGGAGTCCTGGTAGCATAGTGGTTTAAGCATTGGACTGCTAACCACAAGATTGGTGGTTCAAACCCACCAGTCACTTCTCGGGAAAAAGATGAGGCAGCTTGCTCCCATAAACATTTACAGTCTCAGAAACTCTATGGAGCAGTTCTACCCTATAGGGTCTTTGAGTCAGAATTGCCTCGATGGCATGGGTATAGGTGATCATTATGAGTTAGAATTTGACTAGAGCACAGTGGGTTTGGGAATGAGAACAGGAAAGGAGACCTTGTGTTTGGCATCCATTGTGGTATAACACTGTCAGTGACGATGTTGCCCCTTGTTCTTAATACCTTCCCTTCTCTTCTTTGCAGATCTAAAAGCTTTTAAGAACTGTTTTGTAGCCTTCCCATTAAATTTAAATAAAAGTCATAAGACACATTTTAAGTAGCTGTTTGAAAGCGTTTGAAGAGCTGCTCTCAGCTTGGGCTTCTTTGTCATTCCATCAGCTAGTGAACTGATTCACACCGCCAGATTCTTATGACCTAGACCTCCAAAGCCACAGAGACCTAACTGGCCCTTTGTACCACTTGTTGTTCATGTTGTTAGTACGAAGTGCTGTTGAGTCAGTTCTGACTCATAGCAACCCTGTATAGGGTTTCCGAGGAACAGCTGGTAGGTTTAAACTGCCAAACTTGTGGTCCAGTGCTTATCCTGCAGTGCCACAACAGGAGCCTTACTTCTTTTAATTTCTGGTAACATCTAGCTCACACTCTTCTATTTCATTCTGAATCCATAAAGCTCGGTGGGGTATTTATGATTGGAGACTATGTGCATTTGTGGGAAAGATGGAAGGGTGGTGTGGGGTGGGTAGAGTGGTGTGCAGGCTAGGAATCAGTTTTGAGTTTTTAGAAAATAGTTTGATTTCTCATGGTAGTGTCCTGCCATGCAGGGTTCCTTTTGCCCAGCATGTAGAGCTGGCCCACAGTCCTGTTGATCATCTTGTCATACATACAAGGTAAATGAGGAAATATAACCAAATCACAGTTCTGACCAGAACAAGTCATTTCTTGTTGAAGTCTTATTTCTGATTCTTGTGATTCTCCTTCTTCCAATTTATTGATTGTGTTATTTCTAATGTTGAGTTGTCTCCAGCTGATGGTGCCTTATGTATAACAGAATGGAAAAACTGCCTACCCCTGAACCTGATAAAGTTAGTCTTCCCTATTTCTGTGATTCCAGGACATGGTTGGGCAGCAGGTATAGATGACATAAATTTATATCCTCTGGAAGAAAGATATATCAGTTGGGAGTCCTGGTGTGGCACTGGACTGCAAGGTCAGATTGAACCACAAGGTCGGCAGTTCAAGCTTACCAGCTGCTTCTTGGAAACCCTACACAGGGTCTCTATGAGTTAGAACTGCACTTAACAACAAGTCCCAGCAGGAGTTGAAGTTAACGTGTGTAAAAGGTCCTGGCCTCCTGGAAATACTGTCCTGGCTTCCATTAAAAATTATGATTGGGGCAGTGTTTCATTCTGTTGTATATGGGAGTCCCTATGAGTCCAAAGAAGTCGTTTGAACTACAATGTCTGTGGTTCAAGCTCACTAGCTGCTCCTTGGAAACCCTATACAGGGTCGCTATGGGTCGGAATTGACTCTAAGGCACTTAACAACAACAACAACAAATGAGTCCAAAAGACTCAGCAGTAACTAACAACAAAACATCATTTAGTCTATTCCAGCTCATGGAAACTTCATGTGTATCAGAGTAAAATGCTGCTCCCTAGAGTTTTCAATGGCTGAATTTTGGAAATAGGTCTCCAGATCTTTCTTCCAAGGCACCTCTGCGTGGATTGACCCACCATACCTCGCATTTAACTGCGAACCACAAGATCATCAACTCAAACCACCAGCTGTTTCTCGGAAACCCTATACAGGGTAGCTAGGAGTCAGAATCGACTCAGTAGCACTTAACAATAACTACCTATTAGCTAGCAGCCAAGTGTGCTAACCATTTCTACCACCAGGGACGTCTGGCATATAATGGCCTTTAGTGTGTAGGCTGCGCCATGTATGTCATACCCCCAGATCCACCCACCATCTCACCACAACCGGCACCTAATTATTTGAACTCTGTAAACATCTAGAAATATTTTGAAGTTACTGGGTTTTTTTTAATTGGAACTTTTTAGCTTTGACAGTGTCTGAACTTTGACTCTTCCTTAGAAATCAAACTGTGGATTTGTATATAGATATATAAGTCATAGATAGAAGCAGATTATAGATGCATTGGCAAAATAAAACTGCAGCCGAAACAGTTTCTTCACTGGTAGTTTGGGCTGCTAAGTTCTGTATTTCCTCTTTGTTGGCTACAGTTGTTGCCGTTCTTTCTCTTGGCTGGAAAGGTTATTGGCGAAGAAAGGATAATACTGTTCATACCCCCTTTCTTCTTCCTCTTGTGGCTGACTTGACTCTGGTCTGGCGCAATAGAATAAGCACTGGACTGTGAACCTCAAGGTTGGTAGTTCAAACCCACCACTCACTCCTCAGAAACCCTGTACAAGGTCCCTATGAGTCGAACGTCACTTGATGGAACTTAACAACAACAAAACAAAGCGTTAGAAATTGTCAGCTGTGGTATTATCTAGCTGTTTTAGTCTATGGAAATTGGTTGTACTGCACTACTTGAACCTCCCTACCCCATGCACACACTTTATTTATAGATTATTGCCTTTCTTAGAAGGAGCCCTGGTGGCAATGTGGGTTAGGCATTGACCTGCTAACCAAAAGGTCAGCAGTTCTAACCCATTAAGCCCTCCTAGATAGAAAGATGAGGTACTCTGCCCTGTAAAGACAGTCTCAGAAACCCTA